ATCAAACTACGTTGAATTTTGATTCAGCGGTTTCATAAAGTTGCAGCACTGAGACGTCCTAATGTTTTGTCCCAAAAAACGGGAATGTAGCCTGAGACAGTTGATGGTTTCAGATTTAAAAATCAGATCACAGAATGTACGTTGGATTGCTCTGTTTACTAAACAGTTGCAAAGCTTCCACTATAGCATCACACTAACAGCATCATGTGTAAAGTGGCGACGCATTCTTTAAAGTAGAATAATTGTTGATTGTGCACCAGCTGATCTCTGTTCAATGAAAAGGCAGATCGGCAGGTGGGATCACTGAAGACAAATCAAGTTCGATCGTGTGACATCTGCTCTGAAACTAAAATCTAAGGGCAGGAGCAGGATTTGGTTTCAGGACCATGGACAGCATCAGATAATATATCTGTGTCATGTGTCTCAAAACAGCTTATGACATCATCTGGCATAAACCCAGTCACATGTGATCATTACGACATCATTAATCAATCTATTAGTGTGCTGTGGTCCAATTAACACACGACAGAACTAATCAGGAAGGTGCTTTTAAGTGGGAGTAGAGCTTCTTTATGCAGATTTGACACATAAAGTGGGAAATATGTTCAGTTTTTGTCCTGCACAGTTTATCTAATTACACCACATGTAGATGTGAATGAGTCGCCATGCTGCTTGTTCTGCATACGCTCTGTGCATACAGTGACACGTGTACTGAGCACGCTCACATGACCCTACAGTGTAAAAACCAGGTTAAATGGGGCAATCAATCAGTTAGACTTTAGTTTATAGCTCCTTTTGTGCTGAGTGATGAACACACAATACACAGGAAGTGCAAAGCTGATAACAAGATGTAATAAAGCAAAAATAATATCCAACAATAATAAATCTTAAAAGAAAAAACAAAAAGGAAAATATTGAAATGGTTGATAAGAGTGAGAGAAAATCAAAGGACATTAAGAAAAACCAGGATCAAAGATGAAGCCACGCTAAAGTAAAAATGTTGAAACTGAATAAGTGAAAAAAAATACAATAAAGGCAAATACATAATAAAAGTACAACTATGGCTCAAGCTAAACTTGAACTGGTTTGCAGTCAGATAAAATCGAATCAAAACGATGACCTCTGCAGGGCTCCAGGGTGCACGTTTTCCTCGGCTACGCAGATTATTCGGGTGTGTGAGTGATGAAAACATTCGGGCAGCAGATTCTCACTTTTAGAAAAACCTGTTTGTGTCTCACCTGCAAACTGCTGCGAAAACTGGCTCCTAACAAACGGACAACTGAAAGGAACACGTTTAAGACTGCAAAGCCAGATTTTGGTGTCTTTTATTTGGCAGAGACCTTTCATTAATAGGACACAGACGTCCTCATCTTAGATTTATTTTTCCAGTTTTATTTACATTTTTTGCACTGAACCAAACATTGAGGTGAAAAATTCTTCTTCTTTATTATCAGTGGACAGAGAGTGTTCAGCCAGGCGTATTAAAGAGGCTCTTTTCTGCTCATTTTCAGCTTTCTTATTTTCTTTGATGGACATTCTTTGCAGCTTTACATAATTCAAAGCTCAAATTAATTCTTATGTATCTTATAATGGCCCCTCTGTCTCCCATTTGCTTTTCTCACTCTGATCTTTTTTGCACATCTCCGTGGTCATTTTCAGCCTCGTACTGGTGATTTTGCATGTTTTTGTGATTATTTTGTGTCTCGCTGTCTGTTTGTGGCATTTTGCATTGCATCAAAGTCATTTTTTTGACTTTCTGGCAAAAAACATCCAGGAGCGCCCTGCAGCTCACCTGGTGAAAGCTGTGTCCTCACTGCAGAGGCATGGCTTTAATTCCACTCCAGGCCATTTACTGCCCCACTCTCCTTACCCTCCTATCATCCAAGATGACAGATAAAAAGGAGACTGTGGAGAAATGTCTGCCAATCAAATTCAGAGTGATAATGAGCTGTAATATACCATTGCAGTTTGCGGATATCATTAGTTTTGGAGCTCATTTTGCAGACAAATCAATTAAATTATGCTAATCAGAGCAGCACTCACCACTTGTTCCGTGATGCTGGGTGATGCGAGCGCAGGGGAGGTGGAGGGTGAGTAGGTGGAAGGACGTACCTCTCCTTCTTTGTGTTCGCCAGTTTAATTTTCAGTCAGTGTTGTTTGGAAGGTTAAGAGCGATCACTCTGCTGGGAGCACTGAACGAGATGCTCCAGATGAATCCTTCAGCTCTGAGTGCAGGGCATCACGACACACAGGGGCCATGGCCGTCCGAGAGCCTCACCTTGTGGGATTAATTAATGAACCTCATTGAGAACTTAATGATGCTGTCACAGGGCTTTTCACTTCACCCCCCCCCTTATTTTTTTTTTAAGTAAATATATTCAAACTGGAAACATGAGTTAGGCTACGGATGAAGGGAGTTGATTGTCACTCTATAATTTTCGGTCTGACAACCTTGTAAGTGCGAGAGGCGTAGGTGTGCCACTGACAAGGAGCTCGTGCTTCAGCTGACAGCGCCACAATGCTTGTCACTAGATGTTTTCCTCCAATCAAAAGCACATTATTCAAATCTTTGGAAATGTCAACAGTGCAAACCTCAAACTTTCGATACTTTATGCTTTTCGTTTCATTCGGAACCTCCAGCAGCTCTGCGAGGCCTGTCGCAGAGCAGGAGGAGAACTCATGGGTCGAGAAATGATGACATAACCATCCCCGGGGCTGTGGAAAATCCTGACCTTCATTTTGGCTCTCTGCATGTCGGCGAGGGCCCAAGTGGGGTCAGAACAGCACAGTCCTGTACTGTTCTGTGGGGTATGGGAGTGTGACCTGCTCTGCACACCCACTATTTTCACACAGGCACCATTCAAACACTGGAAGTAGTCCTGATGGGCCCGGCAGACAAGCTTGAAAGACTTCCCTTCAACTCTGTGATAATCTGGGGTCAGTTTGGCACGAGGGGCCCATAGGAAGGAGTCCCCAGTCTCCGCTTCGGTACAGCTGTGCACAGGGACAAACTGCATTGTGGGTAGGGCCAAGGTCAGATTGCCAGAAATGATATTTTTCCTAGAGGAAATGATTGTAATGTGAAAAACCTTTTTCAAATTCCAGTAGCATGCAAAGCTGTTTTAAAAGTCAGTCCGCTGCCAGCTAGGAGTCTTTATCGGCTTATCCAGTGGTGACTGTTCTGTGGCCTGAGAATGGAAGTGGAAATGGATTGTGAGTTTCCAGGTTAAAATAACACCAAAGTGCCTCGTTTCTATGCTGGAGATGTAGAGATGCACCGATCTGATATCTGGTCCCATCCTGACTGAAAAAGCTGACTCTGGTATTTTGACAAAGGGCTGAAATGACTTGTTGAAGTCTGCGAAGCATCTAACCAGGATCCCTCGTAGACACTACGTATGAGTTTTGAGTACATGCGGATGCAGGGAGGCAGACCCGTGGGAGTTGCTGGTTGAGGCTGAATAGTTCAAAAGATTCTCTCCCGTGTGTTTTCCTTGAATCTGAGGTAAAACATCAAGACAGGAAGGAAAGATGTGAAGGAGAATTCATGAGAGGAAGCCTTTCTTTTTGAAGTTTGTGTTTGATTGGTGATTGTAATTTGGCTGCAGGCGAGGACGGATGGCTCTGACTGGAGACCTGAGTCCCTCAGTGACAGCTGGGATAGACTCCAGCATCCCAACAGCTCTGAGCTGGATAAACAGTTATGAAAATGAATGGATGGATCTTTACCTGATGTGAAATGACTGATGGCAGCTAAACTACAGCCGTCACTTCACTTTATCATTCTTTAAAGTTCAAACACCCACATATTAGAAGGCAAATGCAGATTATAATTAAACTACCGTCTACTTCATTTGGTACTCACGCTGATATACTTTTTTTCCTGAACCACTCAATCATGTATCTCATTTCCCTTCATGAAGGATGATCCACTGTGTCCTTTGCTAAAGCAGGTAATAAAGGAAGCGTCTTTCCTTGGTATTATTCCAACTATTCGACCACAACCTTCATCTCTCAGCTGCTTAGGCTTTCAAACAGGTCTTGCACACTGTAATCCATCTTTATTGCTTAAATGTCATTTCTGGTACTCTGACTTTGGTCCTGCCTGTAATATATACAGTTTGTAATATATACAATAAACACAGTTATTTCAATAAAGACGTTTATTCTGTATCAAGCAGTAAACGGGAACTGTGGATACTTTTCATAGATGCAACCCGGTTTTATTGTGGACAGCAGAAGGTGCCTCTGCTTTCAGTTCTGTAACAGTGGGGGGGTTGCTTGGATTTCAACAGGAGTGTAAATAATCACCTGAAATTCTGTAATTAAAGGTGTGTTTATGAGTTGAAGCGAACTTCAGAGGCCTAAAAACAAGACCTGTGTAACATGAAGTGGGCTGTGTTGCTGTCATTGCACAATAGTTAAGAGAAAACACACACACACTGCGTGTCAGACGGGCCTGTGCAGCAGACTGAGATGATAAAACACAGATGTGCTCTCACCATTTAACATCAGGAGCCACTGTAGCTCTAAAGGCTGCACTCATATTTCTCATTTTGGAAGCTTTGTGTGATGGAAAAACAAAACACAACAATGAAGATGGAAAGCTACGGTTTCCTGGCGGAGGGAGCGACAGTCGGGAGTGTGGAAGTGGTCGGATGTTGCTTGTTTTCCAAGAGCCGCAGTTTCACTGCTTGTTTCTTGCAAACCATGTTGCACAAACAAGCATGATTAACTTGATATCTCAGGAAATTGAATAATGGTCGGGCTCACTGTTCACTGCAGACAGGAAATAATTGTGCGATTGCGCTGCCAGGTCGTTGGTGTGCTGCTCTTCCTTCACTGCCAGAATGGGTTCAAGAGTTTGTCACAGAGGAACAATTCCACTTCAGTGCACAGCCTGTTTGGGACCAGTGGAAATGAGGGTTTGGTCCGTGTGGTGGATGAGGTCAGCCCATTGATGTCATCCTGTTTGACTCCAGTTTTGTGTTTTTGTTCAGGTTCGTCTTGGTCTTCAGCTGCCTGGTCCTCTCTGTGTTCTCCACCATCCCGGCTCATCAGGAGTTCTCTTCCTACTGCCTGCTCATTCTGGTAAGCACCTGGAAAAATGTTCTTCTGCCAGGAACTCTAAGCAATCAGCTCTTTAATTCATTGACATCTACAATATACCCAAGCATACGTGTAGTACATACAGTAAGACCATCCATGAGGCTGCTCCACCACCTTAGAGGGGATTTGTCTTTCCTTGCACGATCAGCTTTCTCCTCTAAACCAGTTAAAGATTGGAATATGCTCCCAAAGAATTTAAAAACGTTTGCAGAGTTTCATTCATTATTCTCATTAGAACTGCTTCTTGTTTGTGTATAAATTTATATGTATATGATGAATTTTGATATTTGATGTTTTGACATTTGTTATTGTCTGCGTGTGTGTGTGTGTGTGTCAGTAGTGTGCGTGTTGTGTGGTCTGCAGGAAAACTAGGAAACATCTTTCCTGGCCTGAATAACACAGACAGTCCCAGCTTATCAGATAACAGCATATCTAAGCTGATAAAAACAAAAAGAGCTGACAGGAGATTCTCTTCAAGCTCTTTTTCATACATGTTTGAACACTTCAATATAAATTTCAACTTCAGGTGGATCATCGTCCTCGGCTCGCTCTCGTATTGAGGATATTTGAGGGTGTGGGAGTTTGTAGAGCCAGTCTGTGTGTGTTTTCTGTGGACTTGGTGAAAGCAGTCGGTCACGGACTGTGAGCTCGTCGGTGCCTGTACGACTGTAGTCTTTATGCTGGCATTGAGTCAGACAGCACGAAGTGATCTCAGGCAGTTTGCTGCAGTTTGGCTCTTTTAGGTATCTTCTTCCTGTCGTATGATGGTGGTCATCTCTCCATGATCAGGCTCTTTATTGATTGACCTTCCTTGACTACTTTAAGCTCCACATCAGAAATATTCAAATCCATACAAAGTTTTCCATCATAGTATGTCAGTTAGCCCTCCTTCACTAACTCTCCAAAAGTTACTGATATTGACTTTTATTCCTTATGTTCAAGGTTACAGCTGAGTTGGACCACTGTTACAAATAGAAAATATAAAAAAATATTTTAGGGACACTTTTATCATCGCGTGGCAGATTGATGCGTTTCCCTTACAGAAAAAAGAATTCCACTCTAAATTTAACCTGAAAAGATGCATGAAAAGTCACCAGAAGGAAATGACATTTTAAATTTCCTGCGAGTGGATCACCAGAGTCTCGACCTCCTGCGACCTCCCAAATTTTAATTAAATCCTTGAAGCCTCAGTTCTTCTCCTCCTTATCTTCCTCCTCCTCAGATTCAGCATCCAGGTGTGTGACTTCCACCTGCCTGACTGGAGAGTTTCAGACTTCTGAGATGTGAGACTCTCATCCCACAAACTGAGTTTCTCTAGCTCTTTGGTGTCTCTGACATTGGAGGGTTTTTGTAAGAGCAACATAATACCTCAGGAGAGAACAAATATGTGACAGACTTATTCATTCACTTTGCACACGACATTTGTATCCTTATTTTATCACGTCACCCGCTGACCCCAAATTTTCATCCAGAGTAACCGAGCATAATAATCATTGTTCCAGTGTAACCTCATTTAGCACATTTTCAAGATATTGCAGTGTAAGCGTACGTTTACAAAAGGTACGTCTGACCGCTTCCTTTCAGTCTGATTAACTGACACAGATGTAAGACCTCAGGCCTGCGGACCGCTCAGAAACCCCTGAAACCACCCGGAGTGATTTTGGCTGCCGTTGCGTGAAATCGGTCACAAAGTTGGTGCTGCACCAAAAACTTCAGGTTCCTTTGGTCGCCCACAGCTGACCTATACTTTTCATACAAAATGCTGACCTGTCTCTAAACGCTGAGCTGCAGTGAAACTTGAAAAATTGAGTCACAAACTGGAAACGGAGAATGTTTAAAAAGTCGAGTGCTGGCTGAGTTTTTCTTTGCAGATGAATGTTGTCCGTTCCTGGTTTGCATTTCACTTTTTCAGGTTTCCCTGCTGGTTAGCAGTTATTTTGAGTGTTTGCAAACATGTTGGTATCTTCCACTGCAAACTATCAGTGACCACAGTAATCTGCTAGCAATCAAAACAATCGTAGGGAGATGTTTTTTTTATTTCAGTGCCGTATTCAGAAACAGGTAAACATATTTTTTCTTACTGACCGGTGGTCGGCTCTCTGGATGTGTGTGGCTGGGGCCGAACATGGAATGTAATCTGGTATTTTCCATTTTACTCATGCACTTAGCTGCATGAGTAAAATTATATATTAATTACAAAATATCAGTGATCCTGTAAATTAACCAAGATGTGCAGTGAAAGAGGAAAAATGAGGCAGTCTGCAGAAAATACCCAGTAATTTGTGTAATTTGTGCTAATTGTGATCACTGACAAACTGTGCGGAGGAGTGGGAGATAAATAAGGAATATGATGAGCAGTTAACAACGTTGCCTTTCCTTTGAATGTCTTGTTTAAAGAAGTTCTGAACAGAAACCAAAGTATGAATTGGTGAAAGGAGAATTTGCCATTATGAATAAGCCATACGGCCATCGGGAAAACTCTCGAGGTCGACCTCGGGATAACAGAATAAATGGCAGATTTAAGTGCCTGCCCTCAAACTGAGAACTCCACTTTCTTTAAGTACTAACAAATTGAGTTCAAAGATGTCTTGAGAAGAAAGCGAGGAACGGTGGGCACGGGAGCAGAAATGCCTTTTTAACAGACTCTTCACGTTTTTCTTTTCTTTTCTCTTTTTTAAAAAAAAAAAGCTTTTGCAGAAGAAGAGGTCACTTTTTTTGCACGGGCAGCATTTACTGCACATGATTGCCCCTGCAGCTGGAGCTGCCATTTCACAAATTGCACCACGCTAATTGCATCAGCGTTTCCATCTAATGGAAGGTAAAGCCGTGCGTGTGCATTAACAGATGACCCGTCTCAGTCATTTTAACACACAATACTTTTGTCAACCCGGCATCCATTTAAATGAGACAAACACTGCATTAATGACGTATAATGACATGTGATCAATGCAGCAAATAATGACTAATGTAAATTTACACTGATGTGCCAAAATAATAAGACCAGCCCAACATAATGTGCTGCTGGTCTTTGCATCTGAAACATAGACGGGCTATCATGACATCATCCAGGGGTTAGTGAGGTCTCGTTATAAAGCCTCAAGTTTTAAAACCAGATGTGATGAGTGAGAGGTGGATCCGACTGTCAAACTGATCGCGCCTGGAGCTGGAGCATGCTCATTGGTCATTAACTTGTGGTCAAGGTCAAGTTCAAGTTTATTTATATAGCACATTTCCAACAGTCCACACCGCACAAAGTGCTTAACAATGTAAAACCTCTAAAATCAATAAAATGCACAACCGTGATGCAGTAAAATATAGAAGACAATAAGTCAATAAAACAACTAAAACAACAACAACAACTTATGATTGACAAGTAACTGGCCAGTGATTAAATAACCAAATTTTAAAGAGTTTAATAAATAGTTTAGGTTGGAGGAGATGCCGTGGCTAAAGAGATTACATCTCTCCACTGGCCTAGGAACACCTCACAGGAGGCGGCCGGTGAGAGGGAGAGCACCTTCACTGCTTAGGCTGCTTTCCCTGCCACCCAGCCCCGGATAACCGGAAGAAAACAGATAATTAATCATTTCTAAAATGAGTGACTGAGCTCATAAAATCAGCAGGAAAGCATTCACAGAGTTCTGTGTGAAGGACTGTTTCCTGTTTACTTTTCAGGACCAGATGTCTTTGCCTCCTGGTGGCCATTAAAAAGAATGCAGCGTGTATCTTTTATCACGTCTGTAGACAGAACTCAAGCTTCTTAACCTCTGAGCTAATGCTAGCTGGCTTGGTTAGCAGGTTACATCTATACACTGTACAGTCTACTCGAGCACATATCTGCTAATTAGTGCTAAGTTAAGTCACCACAGTGGGTTTGATTTGGCAGATCTTCCTGAAACACATCCAAAGGGTCTAGCATTGTGGCTAGCATCAGTGCTAAGTAATGAAATAATATTAGAACTGAATTGAAGTGAAGGAGACTTCTCGGACAGTCGCTTCGTACCATTAAAAGCACAACAGGTCAAGTAAGTGCATTAAAAAGCTCCAAAAAGCACTAACAGCAGAGTCCAGAGGTCCAGTTCACTGGTTCATTTAGCAAAGGTAAAGCCCAGCATACGAGTAACAGCCAAGATACGACCTACCACACCCCCAGCAGTGCCTAACGTCAAGCCAGATAGCAAGGAAACATTGTCAATATCAGGTGATGTCATTGAATCAACGTTGACGTCACTCTTGCACCCTTTTTTAATATTGAAACAACGTCAGGTTTTGATATTGAATCAATGTTGAAACCTGACATTGATTCGACGTTATATTTTCTAATACTGTTGACATTGAAACAATGTCAGATTCTGATATTGAAACACTGTTAAAAAAAAATAGATTCAGTTGTTATGAAGGGAGAAATCAGCTGTAGAGATCAAAGCTGTTTGTATACCAGGCTGTAAACATGTTTACTTCTGCTGTAAAATTGGACTTTTTAACATGGAAGTCTACGGTGATTGACTCACTTCAGGAGACGGCCTCAAGTGGACATTACAGGAACTGCACTTTGTGGCATTTTTACACTGGCTTGACTTTTGAGTCTCTGTGGAGACCAGTTGCTCAGTTCCCAGAGCCTGATGTTAAAATACTGAGCCAAAACTATGCTGTGTTTTTCTTTTATACACATCAGCCGCGCTCCACCAACAACCTGTAAGTTTGTCTCTCCTCAGTCCAACCATGACCCGGACTGTCAGGCACATTTGTTCTGGTCCTTACATCTGCTTCTCTCTTTGCCAGTGTATTTGGTGCATAACTGTTTACTTCCTGTCTAATATATCCACTGGCTTAACTGTGTTTGATTTAATCCCTGGAAAACCAGATTAATGCTCTCTGTTGCCGTCATCAACACGCTTCCAAAACAACTGTTGTTTCTATGCTTCCAACAGGAGTTTGTGATGATTGTGGTGTTCGGGTTGGAATTCATCATCCGTATCTGGTCAGCGGGATGCTGCTGTCGCTACAGAGGATGGCAGGGTCGGCTGCGCTTTGCCAGGAAGCCCTTTTGTGTCATCGGTGAGTCTTTGGGCCACGCCTTTCTTTTTTTTTTTGGGTGATTAATTCGCTGCTTAAAGGTTTTGTTTTTCAGCTACAAAGCCATTCCCTTCTCATTGTTTCACCCTACAGTTGCCCTCTAGCGGACCGCTCTGCGTCCTCTCTGTGAATGCAGCCCATGGCACGCTATTGACCAAAGTCTGCTGGTGTCATTTTCAGCTGTGGTCAGGCCTCATAAGAGCAGAGAGCATTTACGTAATGAGGTTGCATTAACTGCCTTTTATTCTTTCCACTGTTTAGACAAGGATCGCTCTGCTGCTTCTTTCAAAGTACAGTAGGGCGCTCGCAGGGAGGGAGAGCAGTGCTCCGAGGTCAGCGAGTGCGTCGCAAGCTCCGGTCGTCACTGTTCAGCACTGACGGGGGAGCGAGCAAAAGAAGAGTGAAATATAAGTAAGAGATAAGGAGAAATGGAGAAGACGACGGCGTGTGATGGCGAGCGCGGAAAAATAATAAAGTGAGAAAGTAAAAGAAAGGATTTGAAGGATACATGGAGCTGAATCATAACGCACATCCCTACAGAGAGAAACCCTGTGACTGTGCTGCAGTATAAAATGACTCTGTCTGTGTCTGTGTGTAGTTTTGGTCGTATTACAACTTTTATTATACTAATTTTAGTTTCTGTGCACAGACATCGACTTTAACTCCAGAGCATGATGGCAATTATTCTCCATCATTTGCAGAAAAACGTTTGGATTTTAAGATTTCAGAGTGATAGTGGGTGATTTCTTTGTGTTAGTGTGACTGAATCGGAAATATTGGTAGCTCTTCCCACTAAACCAGTGCAGAACCAGCTCTGGTTTAGTCCTCCATTGAACCAGCTCCCACTGTGGCCGGTTTGGAGACTGAACGCTGGGTAGCTGAAGCTGACGTAACTGTCATGGCAGTAAAATACTTGTGGGATAAATGTATGAATTAATGTGAATTTCTCACCTAATGTCAGTGACTAATTATCACTTTTTACTTGTAGCATGGTATAAAATGTCACAGGACAAGCTGGAAAATGCACAGATTGTTACCAGATTACTCCTGGATCTTTGAAGCAGCTGGTCTTTGAGGATGGTTTTAGTGTGGAGCTCTGATAAGGCAGGAATGAAGCAGATATCCAGCCTGCTACAGAGAACTGCAGGAAAACCAGATTCATAGATTAATGCTGTTCAACGATTTATGAAACACAGAATTTGTGCTACTGGCAAAACTTTTTTGTTGTTGTTGTTGTTGATTTTTTTCTGCCATGACTGCAGTTATTTCTCTACATGAAGATTTCTAAATGAGCAAACTCCTGGTTTATGCCAAGTTTAGCCCCTGGCAGGTTAAATGAAGTGAAACTGGTTGTGTAGCTCAGTCTTTCCTCAGTCTGGGCATTGCTGTATCGCCAGGATTATTGTTAGGATTATCATGAATTAATTTGACTTCAGAGATGCTGAAAGCCTTGAGAATGGCAAGACTTAAAGTGGATCATGTCTTTAGTGGAAAGAGAAAAATGTGAGTAGCTTTGAGTGCCGTTTTATGCAACATCTCCTTGAGTATGATATGTAGGGTCAGTGACCTTTAATTGATCATAGTGTTGGTTCAGGTAGGCCATGAAGTCAGCCTACAGCTACCAAATCTCAGGTAGGTTGCACTGTATATGCTACTTTAGCCTTCACACAGGTGCTGCACACCTGCAAGCCACTTTGCAACCAGCCTCCATCCAATTATCTCCGTTTCTGACTCGGTGTCCTATCAGTGATGTCAGCTCGGTTATGTGCTGATGTTCTTCTAGAGCCATGTCAAACATAAGTGGTTGTAGATGGAAACAGGAGGGCTTGTTTTTCCTTCAGTGATTCTAAACAAACTCTGTGCATATTTGTGTGATAGTTTGAAAGTGCCTAAAGGTGTAGAAAGTGAGCTCATCCAGACAGCGGTGAATCTTACGAATGATTTATTTGTATCCAACCTTGAAGAACACAAATGTATTTTCCCTTTTCTTTAATCCTGGATTTAGAAAACTCTGTAAAAGCTACAGGACAGATTAGCTTTTATACAGACAGGAAAACTCTGTATGCTGTATTAACCACTGATATTTGCGCAGATAGTTAAAACATTTACAGAGTTCAACACACATTTAGAGAAGAACACTAGGGTGATGGTACTGTCATGCTAACATTTGCACAACCTGGGGAAAGTAAACTGAAAATCCTGAAAATCATTCAGGAGTCAGTTTAGGTATTTATACTTGAGTATTTCCATTTTAAGCTGCTCTGTAAGTGTAATAAAAATATTAATCTTGTAAACATGAGTGCTTTTAGTTTTTATACTTTTGCTGATAGTACTTTTTAAACTCGAGCAACATTTACTTTAATGGATGCACGGGATCTGACTGATCTGTCTTACATTAAAATGCTTTAATAATGCTAGAATAATAAGATATCCTGGTCTGAATATCTAAAAATAATACAGCCTCCAGCTGAACTCATTTAAAATGTTCTTCCTTTTGCTGTTACTTTTGGCCCAGAAGTTAAATCATTTCTTCTTCTTCTGTGGAGTCCTTTAAGCAGTTCTTTTTTTCTTTTCACTTTGGCTGCTGCATCGTGCCCAGTGGAAATTCTGTTAACCAGTTTATTTGTGGCAACAGGGCTCCCTAATTACTTGCGATCAAGCAGCTTCACTGGAGCCGTACGGCGGCATGTTGATGCCAAAACAGCCGAACGCCAAAGGAAGTTTCTGTGCTCAGAATAAGCACCGCGTGCAGAATCTTCATGTTGATATGACGTTTTAACCAGCGTGATCTAAAGATGTGTTAGTCTGTGACTTCAGAGCGACCAACATTAACTCGCAAATGAAGCGGGAATGAAAACTAGCATCGCTTTAACTGGTGTGAACAGGTGATTTGTCCCTGTGAGTCATTTAAAAGACCAAAGACTCCCCGGGGGTTAAAGGAAGCATGTCCGCTGACAGCCTGAGTAAATGACTCCATGGTGGCTGTGATGCACATGGCTCGGCCCTTATGGAGATGCATCTGAATGATGCGCCTGAGGATGGACTGTCATAATATGCAGCTTTCTTGTGTTTGTCTGGTTTCACGCTCACATTCTTTCGTGTGAAGTTTTGCCTGAAGCTCAGAACACTGTGTTTCAAATGAAGACCTTCAAATTGTGATCATTCATCACAATTTGATCATATCAACCATCAACTCTGCAGGTTTGCATTTGGATCTGTTCTGGAAATTGAATATGTTCTGCATATGTGCACTTGCTGTTGCTGGTCTTGCTTGCCCTTACATGCTATCAATGTCTAAAGTTTTTAAAAATCTGCAGAAAGTGCAGCTTTGCAGTGGAGGTGTTTAAAAATGGGAGGCCGCCCACCGGTCTGTGTAGTTTCATTGAGAAGCTGAGCTCTTTGCCGTCTTTAAGTTCTAAACTGGGAAGAAGTTGGTTTGTGAAAAACTCAGACTGAAATACGCAATTTCTATCCTGGTTGTGGAACACTGGACCTGGAATGATATTTAAGAATAAGTGAGGATAGGAGTTTGTCCAACCAGTCTACATGTGTTTCGTGGACTTCATTCACCTGCATCCTTTGGTTTAACCTGTAGGGAAGTGCTTCAGTAGTACAGTGTATCTGGCCTGATGTTACAGGCCATTTAGTCCATGTACAAGTGTGTTTTGGGCGGGCGGTTTGGGCAGCTCCTCAGAAACCCAGATCTGGACAAGCGGATTGATGAATGGATGTCTGATGGGTGAAAATGTTCCTACATTTTTGACTTCACTGTTGGGGAGCTATCGTGAGATGTGCTGTCTGTAGGGCTGAATGCCTGTGTAGAGTCAGCTGGACTGATTTAAATCTTTGGATTCTTTGTGGGGTTTTTTTTTTTTTTTTTACTTTCCTCTGAGCACCTTCAAAGTCGGCGAGCTCTGCTGGTGCCCCTTTAATGTATTTGTAATGCCGCTGCTGCTCATGACCTTTCCCCTTTCTCTTCCTCTCCCCACTGTGGGTCAACTGATCTGTTTATTTATACGACCATCAGCTTCACCTCAACAAACATTCTCTCTTTTAAAAAAATGGGTTCGACTGAAGGACAGAAGGGAAATCCTCTCGTACACAGTGAAGTAAAATAGCACGGCCCGGGCGTAGAGTTTAACGCGGAGCATCGCCGAGATGGAAGAGACGGGGAGATTTGGGGGTTTTTTTTGAGTTGGACGAGGTCTTATTTGTCTGTGCTCTTTGTGGGTTTGGTGTTATTCATGTGCTCGCTGTGCTTTGTGTGAACTTCCTCTGCACAGAGTCAGATCTGTGTGCGTCTGCCTCTCTGTGCCCGTGTTTACGTCTGTCACAGTTTTTATGCTCTTATGGGAAATTAAAAGGAAACAAAGCAGAAGTGTGAGCTCTGCTTTCAGATATACAGCAGAGCACTGTTTTAGCCAATTACCTCTCCCTCTGCTGTGTTTGTGTAAACAGCAGATCGATGCAGTAGCCAGGCAACTTAAATCAGCATATACTCTGTATAGGAAGAGGCCATAGGCTGCTATTGTGCTGTTGATGCCTGTGGCAGATTATGTCATCTCCAGTAATATGGAGCCTTTGTTGGGCTGATTTACTGCAGTGAGCAGCGTGAGATGACAACGCTGACTTACTGTTATTGCTGCTGCATGATAGACGTCGAACCGTCTAACTGGCGTTCAGATGAGAATGAATTTTGATAGGATGGTTTCACGTTAAGATCAATAACAACAAGATATACTTGCTTCTGTTTTCTTTTCTGCTAGCAGGAGTGAGCAGTCTTCTTTTTTTTGGAGCTGTCAATGAGATGAGGGAAATAGTCGTGTTTTTTCTGAGAGCCAGTTTTCTTATTTTTTGAGTGCACACAGAACGTACACATAAATCACTACACATAATCGCTAGGGGTGCAACGATACTCTTATCGATATTGAACCGTTCGATACAGTGCTTTCGGTTCGGTACGCATATGTATCGAACAATGCAAAATTTGTAATTTATTTTATCAACTTTCCTTCTGACGATGCTGTCTGTGTTGAACGCTCAGTGAATCTGCGTT